GAAAAGCCTTATTAAATGTGACCCCCAAAAAGTTGTGATTTTGGACAGAAAGTTCTAAAAAACATAAACAGTGCCAACAAATCAGTAAGTAAGGATGAAAGACCCAATAGAAAAATGTGGAAAATTAAAAGATACTCAATTTCATTCGTAATAACAGAAACGCGAATAACTTTACACTTAATTTTTTTTTTTTTTTTACTTCTCATATTGGCACCTATCAAAAAGTTTGGAAACAAACTGTGGTGAGAATTTAGGAAAACAGGCATTCTTACACATTGCTGGTAGAGTGAATGGGTTCAACCTCTTAAAAAAAAGGCAATTTGTCAATACGTATCAATATTACAACCCAATATATCCTTTGACCCACACTTCCTCTTCTAGAAGCGTTCTCTTACACTGGGCAAAATGACAGTGATTATTCATTGCACATTGTTTAGCAAAAGATTGGAAATAATCTTAATGTCAATCTACAGGGGGTTTAAATTAATTGTAATTTATCCATAGAAAACTATGCCAACACAAGAAACAATGAGGAAGGTATTTCTATAGAATATAGAGTAAAGGTCAGCAAAATATGGCCTGAAGTTCAAATCCCACCCATGCCTATTTTGGTACAGCCCATAGGCTAAGCATAGTTTTTGCATTTTAAGTAATTGGAAAAAATCAAGAAAAATAATATTTCACTACCTATGAAAATGATATGTGATTCAAATTTCTGTGTCCATAAATGAAGTTTATTGAAACACAGCCAAACCCACTCATTTCTATACTGTCCGTGGCTGCCTTCACACTGCAAGGGCTGAGTTGAGTGGTTGCAACAGTCCCTATGGCCTGCAAGGCATAAAATATTTACTACGTGTCCCTTATAGAAAAAGTATGTCAACCCCAACAGGGAGTGTTTTAGAAGATATTTTGTCAAATGAAAAATGGAAGGTACAGAAACGGTATATAGTATGCTATAAGGGAAAGAAAAGGGGGGAATAATTACATATGCATGAAACGTCTCCCGCTGTTT